AAAGCTCATCAGATGATGAATCGGTCATAGGGTTGATCATACATCTTGTTTTTGCTGCAGCAGTCCCCTTTTTAAGCCCTGTCCTAGCTATCCTGTTTTTTGGGTTTTTTTTGCAAAGGTGGGCATTTGTCCTGTTTTCTTTTGCCAACTGAATAAATTGGCAGGAGCAAATGGGACAAATGTCCACTTTTGTTGAAAAGAGGGGTATGATGTGGAGGAACGTAGCGGGGGAGGCTGACCTGGAGGAGCAGGGGGAAGGAGTTCAGCATGTGGGAGGCAGGGTTCAAGTGATCTTGCATGAGAGGTTGGTAGGATTTTAGTGACCAGAGAGTAGTAATAGCCTTGAGAGGGGGTGGGAGAGGAAGGAGAGCCTGATAGCCTTGAGTGAAGAAGCAGATAGGATTTGAGTGAACAGTGTGAGTGGGGAATCAGCAGGGTTTGAGCAACCAGTGAAAGCCTCACACTGAGGGCCAGCAGGGTTCTAGTGACCAGTGACAGTATGGGGGGCGGGGAGGAGCACCTTGGATGTGCAGCTGGAGACAGTCTTGTGGTGTGGGACCTTGGAAGAGTTGCTGGGGCCAAACCTGAGGGTAGGGTGCGTTGGGCAAGTTCCAAGTAATGTCTCAGTTTAAACTTTGGGAAATATGGTCATCCCACCTGTCAACTCACCCATGAAGACTGTCATATATTGTGGACATTTCCTCCACATACCTGTCCAAGATTTTAGAATAACCAGAGAAAATTATACCCAAAGATCTCTTCCTGAATTTTACACTCATCCCAGTACATGCTTGGTTGTGGCCTTGATTTAGAAGTGCCATATGGACACCTTACGCTTGTAAAGTGAAGTATAATTGAAAGTATTTGTAGGCTCAGGGCCATGATCCATAAACTCAAGACTGCTAGTAAATAACATATCTGATATATTTACCTTTTGTTTCCCATTCACAAAACACTCAGAGGAGATTTGGATTGAATGTACCATTTGGATTGATGACTTGTAAAACAACATTTTATTCAAATTTATTGCAACCCATTGGTGGCTTGGAAACTAATCGCTTCATCTCCATTTTTGATTACTTGCTATTCACTATTAGTTTTTTGTGGTGCATGATTGAGCACCTGAGGGTATGTCTACACTAGCCCCCTAGATCGATCTAGGGAAGCTAATGAGGGCAATCGGAATTGCAAATCAAGCGCAGGATTTAAATATCCCGTGCTTGATTTGCATGTTCCCAGCCGGTCGCCAATTTAGAAATTGGCTAGCCTGAAGTAACTGCCTGCCTCTACACACGGCAGTGAAATGGGATTCTGGAATAAAGCCCCTAAATCGAATTAGGTGGTAAGGTATTCCACGAGAAATACCACCTAATTCGATTTAGGGCTTTATTCCGGAATCCCGTTTCACTGCTGCATGTAGATGCGGGCAGTTACTTCGGGCTAATCAATTTCTAAAATAGCAACCGGTTGGGAACATGCAAATCAAGCGCAGGATATTTAAATTCCGGGCTTGATCTGCAATTCCAGTCGCCTTCATTAGCCTCCCTAGATCGATCTAGGGGGCTAGTGTAGACGTACCCTGAGTCACATAATATAGGACAACTAAACCCACATGAAAATAAATCCCATTCTCACTGATGTTTTTAGAAACCCAAACAGATACCACTCTCATTGCTGAACTGAAAATCAATTCAGAATTCAAGGAAAAGCTGTGAGGACTTTTTCCCATATTATATTCACATCACTGTTGGGCCTCTACTGAAGCAGATCCTGTAAATAAAGGTTTAGATGCCATGCTCTGGCACCTCATCATGGAAGTATAACCCAGAAGTAAACTGCTCCTTTGTCCTATTCATCAATGTTCTTGTCTGGATACTTTTTAATATTTCTGCTTCAGGCTGCTATTGCTTTTAGCCTCAGAAGGCACAGGGACTTGCGAGTACCACCTATGCTCTAATGATGAAAAACAAAAACTTGGAACTGCCTTTAAATTGACAATCCCTCTTTTCCTTACACATGGGAAAACTATATCTGACAGAGTAACACTGCGGATAAAATCAGTACCAGAACTTACTTTGTTCCAGTCCTCTAATATACTCCAGACACTTGCTGGACCACAACAAAAGGGGACCTTCTCAGCACCAGCCAGCTTTATATTCATTCACGTCATTCTGAATACACTGAATGAGAAAAGAAAGAATGGCAACAGATTTTTGATAAAGGAAACACCTGCTTTTCATTTTCCTCTAACATCACAGTACTTTAATGAGGCTAATGAAATGACACATAATTGGGGACAAAAGTTTAAATCCAAGTTAGCAAGTAGAGTCAGACTGACAACAAGTAGTAGAAACCAGAAGTTTGGTTCAGACTAATTTTGAGTGCTTCTTGAGAGTAAGAACTTGATGGGGGAGTGTCACCTTCCAAATCACATAATTGTGGCATTGTAGATTATAGTTTTCTACTAGGATTTTTTTAGTGTCTTATGTTATTAAGTGATATATTATATTCACATATATTGTTACTGCATGTATTACATTGGTGCCCAGAGGCCCCAGAAAATACATACATATTGTAAAAAAAAGTCCCTCCCCCTAAACCCCAATAGACCAGACTGGATAATGTATGAGACACGGAAACTTGTCCAAGGCCATACTATAGGCCAGTGGCAAGGAACAGATGCAGTTCTCCCAATTTCCAGGCCAGAACTCTAGTTACTAGAGGAGGTTGTCTCTATAATAGTAATGTATTAATTTCCTTTGAGCGACGTACAGATCATTGTCAAAAGTCAAAATTTTTAGGATTGATGCAGAGGTCTCCCCATGAGGCCTGGGAACAGAAGAATCTATTTAGTTTGTGTTGTGGCAACAGGGATGCTCACAGAGTTACATTGACCAGCGGATAACTCCAGAGTTACAATGGCCAGCGGATCAACATAGCATGGATCAACTGCTTTGGCCAGAGCTGCCATAGAACTAGGCCGTGTGGTATCCATAGGATGAGGAGACACCGAGGCTCCCCAGATTGTGAAGAGCAGAACATTTCATTCATGTCCTCTGCAACTGAGGAGAAAGGGGCAAAGACTAAAGAATGATAAATAGGTCTTATGTTGCAAGCAACTTTATTTTTCACTGGGAATATTTTTTGCATGACAGTAGTTGGAAACAAGTCAATTCTGACTGCTTCTGTTGGAGGGTCAAGTTCAATAACTGCAGAATTGTAGGGAACACCTGTCAACACTCCCATCGCAGATCTTTCCCTCCATATCCTCCTCCAAAAAAGTCTAGAGTCTTCACGTTCTTACCTAAGATGTCTTGAGTAGGGGGTTTTTGGGATATGGACTTCTCTTGTGGGAATGTTCTGTGGGGAATTAAGGCCAGCAGGAGTGGGGAAAAAAACCCAGTAGATGGGATAAACCCAGTGCCTGTGAAAGTAGAATCACTAAGAAATATTTTGTACGATATGAGTAGACACTTAAGATAAAGAGCCTGCCTAGTGCAGTTTTCTTTATTTTTTTTAACTATTAAATGTTTTAACCAACACTTGTAGCTTTTAGCTTACAGCTAGGACTAAGAGTGAAACTTCTTACTTTTATCTGTTATTGACAACTTTTCCAAGTCCAACTTCATGTAAAAAGTCAGATCTGCAAACAGGTGTGGGAAACATTTTTTGTTAAATTCTTGCCTTGTTTTCTCCAGGCGGGTGTCCTTTCCAAGGAAATGGAAATGGGAGATTGTACTGATCACAAGAGCTGAGAACCACAAAGTTGCTTATTTCCATGGATCCAGAGACAAATTTTACTCTCGTTTGCATCAGTATGAAACCAGAGGACAATAGAGCCACTGAAATCAATGGTTTTACACCAGTGTAAAGCCTGTGCAAGAGAAAATTCAGGCTTCATTCTCCATTATTTCTGAAATATTTCCAGAAAAACTATCATTAGTTAACTATTTTGGTTTAGCAAGTACTTTTAGTTTTCAGACGTCTCCTGTCATGATTCTGGGTTTGGAACCATGATAAAAAATTGGTAGTTATAGAATTGGTAGTTCTGTCTGGTTACACAGGATTTTTCAATGAACTTTGAAAACTCATAAGGACCTATGCAAAATCCATTTATGTCAATTGAAAAAATGTTTTTTGGTTAAGACCTTAGTTCAGACATATTCAGTTTGGATATAGTTCAAATAAGCATCTCAACTTTGGCAACCAAACAGAGTAAATTATTAGAAAAATGTGCCACACTGTACCTGTGTATAGATCTTATGAGGAGTATTGTTTTACTATCCATCTGTCCATTCTATAGCACTCTAAGAGCATGAGAATGCATTGTAAAATAAAACCCTGATTGATTTACTCATTCATTGATTTATAGTAGCACTTATAAAGTTCTGACCTTACCCTTAGTGAACTCAACAACAAAGTTTCCATTGTTTTTCACGGTGCAGGATCAGGCTCTTACTGAGTTGCAAAAAGAAATGACTCCATGAAGGTTGGAGAGTCATTCCAATATAAAGCCAATATCAGAGGGCCTGATTCTGATTTCACACATCTGGGAATCCATTAATTTCAGGGGAATTATTCATATTTATATCAGTGTATGTGAGAGTAAAATCAGGTTCTGAGTCTCGTTTGTTTCCTTAATTGCTTTTTCTTTTCAAACCAAAAAAAGTCTCTTGGAATAAAGTTAGCACAATGAGATAAGACTCCATGAAACCATTCATTGGTTACTTAAATATCTGTGCTCTAAAGCAAAGTAGAACAGAACAATGACTGCTAAACTCTAGTTCAATATTGATTGCTAATTAGTTTGCTATTTTGGCTGAAATGCCTTCTAGCATTGTAAGTCAATTTTTAATCTGTATAAACAGTAAAGGAATGCTCTATCGCAAAAACATGTAATTACAGGGGATTATATTACACCTCCAGCATTTTGGCAAAAGCACTCAATGGCAAAAGATAAAAAGGTAGCACCAAAGTCTTTTTTGATTTTGTACTAACAGCAAACTCACTAGTTATCACTACAATGCATTCATTGTTCAGTGTCTTGGCTCCTGTTGTTCAGATTCAGAGATATTGGCTCCAAAACAAACACACATAAAATTAACTTCCTACATTTTCCTTTGCTTTGTTCATATCAGCTCTGAGATAGACACCCTAGCAAAGGTAATATGAATTCTGAACAGTTGCAACTGTAGCAAAAATAAATTCCAACAGAGCTAGCACAGTGATACTGTAGGTAACTCTACCAGCTGCACTACTGTTTCAAATAAAAAGGATATAGTACAAAAGTTATATACAGAGTTCTCTGTTTTTGCCAAGAAATAAGTGTCTGTTTTGTGCATTATCTGTGGGTTAAACTACAGCAGTTTGAAGCCCTGACCACACTTTCAAGTGCTGTAGTTCTTTTAGCCAGGGCTAGATTGAAATTAAAAGAGCCTGCCCATTAGCATTCATCATGTCTTCTGAAGAGAGTCAGTTTTCTGAAGAATCCATTAAATCATGAGGCTCTAATGATAGAGATACAGACATATGGAATTTTATTGTACTTGTCCATTGGAATTTACTTACTTGGTATAGATTGGCTCACACTATATTTATTTTTAGGGCCCCATCCTGCAGTCTTTGCACAGGCAAACTCCCAATGAGATCAGTAGAGGTTTTGCCCACTGAAGGATTGAAAGATCAGGCCCAAAGTATTTCCCAAATTTTATCTAGCACTACAGCTGGGCTGACAAAGTCATAAGCTCTCAAATACTTTGCATGGGATGCCAAGGGCAAACAGTGAGAGAACTGCCTAGGACATGTCGGGCTCTGGCTTGGATTCTGTTGCCAGTCCCACCAGTGTCAATGGTTTAAAACAGGTGTGAGAAGAGAATCATGACTTCCATGTTTAAAGCTGTGTGGAGGAGACGTTAGCTTATCATGAGGATGGCACACTATGCAGAAACCCTTTATTAAGCTACGTATTTCCATGCAGCCCTTCTCAGCAAGTAGGGTAACCAGATACCAGGTGTGAACAATTGAGATGGGGGAGAGTGGTGGTAATAGTTGCCTACATAAAACTAAGTCCATAATATTGGGTGTCTGGTCACTTTACTTGCAAGACACACTGTGGAGCCTTTGGGGAGGACACCAAAACAAGGAGAGGCGGGAGCCCTCCATTGAAGGATAATAAAAAGGAGCTTCCTTTCTTTGTTTTAACATTATAACAATGTAGTTCAAGCTACAATTCTGCCTAGATTCACAGTGAACCAGAGAGTTAATGATCCTTCTGAAATATAGCTTCTTTCAGAGTCTGTGCATCTTCTTCTAATTACTGCAACCCCCCCAACTCTCCATGCATTTTAATCTGAGTTTACTAACTTATTTCTTTTGTGTACATATTCTGACGTAATAGAACTTTCCTCCCCAACCCTGATGGAATGTGTTTAATCTGATTCAAACCCATTGTTTCTTGAGATGTCTACTGGGTCCTTGCAAAATGTAGCAGCAACCTTGTTTTCAAGCCATCATAGTTATCAATGTACTCTGTTGTCTTTCCAGTTGCTTGGAGCTGGGCTCCTAGTTGCTCTTGTAAATCCAGTTCCAATTTGCTTGGACTTCTTGTATTCAGAATGAGGGGCCCCTGCCTCACAAATTTCTCCTCCCAGAGGAACTTCAGATATTGAAACATCAGGTTATGAGACAGATCTTTAAAACTGTCTCATATTTTCAATATTTGGGGCCAGATTTTCAATAGAAACTTGCTCTCATGTAAGTGATTATATAGGGGGACAGAATTTGAAGAGGACACAGCACCGAGCAGCTCCCACTGTGGTATTTATGGCCAGGTTTTCAAAAGAGTTCAGCACAGAATATGCTGAGCTGTCGTAGAAATCTGGCTACATGTTGTTAAAGCATTTGTTTGCTCTATTCTATTTATTGTAACCAAAACCAAAGAAAAAGGAAACCTTCAAAAATAATGGTTTGAAAAGTACAGCATTTCTGGTACGGATGTTTTAAATCTCCAAGTCTTCTTTAGTTTTGGCAATTGCATAACCATTTTCACTTCATTTTCCTGACACACAGCCAATCAAACCATAAGTATGTTTAGCAAAGTGAATTAAAGAGTGCCTTTCTTGCCAGAAAAAATGACATCTGCTATTATGAAGATAACATGGAATTTCCGATGATAAAAAAATTAAAATCCCAATCTCATTTGCTGTCATCAAGGCCAGGAAAATAGAAATAAACACAGTTTGCTGTCTTCACTGGAAAAACGTACTTCATTTGGGTCAGCCTGTGCTTTCATCAACTTCAGTGAGCATAGAATCATGCTCTTTATATGCTGCTTGTCAAGATTTACTTTTAAATGCTAAAATGCGCTTCATACTAAACATGTTGGATTTGAACCAGCGATCAAGAGAAGAAAGGCTCTCTTCCCACTGAGTCAGCCAGTTCCCCAGTTAAAAAGTAGCTTTTTTGATAGTCAGGTTTTTGTTTTGTAGACAGTCCCATCACTTTTCTGGGTGAAATTCATTCCTGTGCAGGGAAAACACAGAAGTCCTACACACTGGACGCTCACTTATGCACAAAAAATTATAATAGTGTAAGTCTCCCGCCCCCCCATCTATTTACTTAAAGTGATTCAAACCTCTGGCTTCTTCAATTTGTTAACATTGATTTAGATTAAAGCAATAAGTTGATTAAAAAGATTGCTCTCTCTCTCTCTCTCTCTCTCTCTCGTTAAATTGGTGAAACTTTTGTGTATAGAGAAGGCCCTCAGAGTCTCTTAAATCTTGTTTAAATAGTCAGTACATAGGCCTTGTGCTGGCTCTATGCGTAAGAATGAATTTCACCCTCTTGTGAAATAGCTCAAGGGATGGACTCTATTTATTTGTGTCTTATATAGCAGTGGTGCATTGTACAGTATGTGCTTAATACATATGAATGAGAATCATAAGATGCTAGAATCTATTCCAGCTGTACTTTAGATAAGTCTGAAGGCTGGGATCGACTAGGGTTAGGGCTAGACTTCGTGGTCAGTAGGCCTCAGAAGCCAGCAATAGAACACTAGGGAGTTGGGTATTATATCAAAAGGGCATCCAAACAGATCTATAGACTTTTTTGTAATGGAAACAATTGATTTCAGGCTAAGGATAATCTTAGGCTAATATACTTTAAAATCAGAGAAAGCATCTTTCCTGGATTCTTGTGTATTTTATATTTTTCTTTCTTTGGCATTTGAAATGCAAACTTTCCTTTGGATATTAGTTCCATTCCAGCCCTATCCTGTGAAAGGAAAAAGACTGTGGGAAGAACATAGTGCCTTGGTTGTCTCTATATACCACAAGTGAAAAGAATTGGGACAAGCTGAGTAACACTCGGGACTAGATATGAATTAAACACATTTCAAAGAGAAACTTGAACTCTATCAACTTCAGTTTGAAGTCACTTATCATCAATTGGAGATATATTTCATTCCAGTGCCACCCTAGTGGTATTTATCATATGAATTACTAGGAATTACATTTTTGCCAAGAAGAAAATATTCCAACAAGAAACACATTGGTCTTAGCTAGTCCAAAATCTTCTGTTTTGATTGTACAGGGAGTAGAGCTATTTAGCACAGGCCAGATTTTTAAGTCTTTAGTCTGTTTCTATTCAGTCCCGGCTCAGGGAAATTTTGTCATTGACTTCAGTGGATTTTTTCTGAATAAAGAATAAATTTAAACAGAAAACCCCAAAACCCTCAAATCCTGCACAAGTAACTTTGCTCACCACAGTCCCATTAATGCCAACAAGACTTTACTCATCCAAAGCTCAGAATTTGGCCTTTTGTTCATGCACTGCCAAAGAAGAAAAATGTATACTGTAATGATTTTCTTCCAGTCTCTTAATGATAATAGAAAAATGACAAGTAGTTTAATTATTAAAATATGGGAAACTCAAACAACAACTATTTGACTATTACAAATAATTTCCATGGCAGCTTTGTTACTGGCTGTTCAAAAACCAAACAAACTAAAAAGTATTTACTTGCTCATGTGAGAAATGTAGAATTTCTGTAATTTATTGTAATTTTGTCAAACCAGTCTCTAAAGTGTATATACGTTGCTATTTCTATTCCTAGACTCTGTGGTTAAGTTGCCACTAGCCAAGTTTCCAAAATAAAATATGAAGTTCCCACAACACAGGAAAGTATCCAATAACATTCTGTTGAATAGCGAGAACTTAAGCCAGTCAATAAAAATAATAATTTATTGCTCATTAGGTAAAAGAAGAATGATTGCAAACCCAGGTGGTGGATGGGGGTCAGAAAGATGCTGCCACAGGCTGCCCATATGCTTACATAAGGGTGCTAACTTAGTGCT